AACCCATTTATTAATATAATTTTTTTTTTTATTTTTTTTTCTCATTACAATTATTATTATCTGTTTAAAAAGGTGACCCATATTAAAAAATAAAAATAAAATCCTGATGACACTGTGGGCTCAACATATATAAGTGAAAAGTCCTGTACTCAATATATTGAACATGGTCCTGATCTTGCAATAACTTGCATTTCACTCCAGCAGTAGAGAATATATGTGGATATCTGTAATTATCATGATTAATTGCACTCTTCCTTTAATTAATTATACTTAACCTTAATTAAAATTTTAATTGCTTGCGTAATACAGTTTTTTTATTTTTTTTATTTTTTTTATTTTTTGGGTGTGTGTAGTGCTTCAAATAAATGGACTGTGAAGCCAATCTAAACTTACCATCACGCGCACGTCCCATGTTGTGAACGGCGAAAAAAAAAAAAGTCAGAGAGGCCACAGTCAAAATGAGTATGTCCGCGAGTGAGTCCCCCCTTTTGGCTCAAAGTCGGTTAGATTAACTGTAGTTTTGAAAGGCGTTGACAATTCCCATGATTCGGGTCGGGTTGTTAGTTAAGATGTCGTTTAAGCAAGGTTTCAAGTTTGAGTCTTTGTAGATGCAGAAACCTTGTTGGGAGACTCACCCACCACTGCTAGGTGTGCGACTCGGGTCGACTAACGGATTAATCGGGGCATAGCTCCGGATACCGTGGCTGACTACCAAAAAAAAATAAAAAATTTCGATTGTTTTAATAGAAAATGCTATAGTCCCGTAACGGGATTATTCCATTAAGTGTTTTAACCGTTAAATCATCTATCTTATATTAATTTAATGTGTATTCAACGGTTAAAACTCCTAACGGGATAGTTCGTTAAAACTCACCTACCCACGATGGGCACATGTTGGAGCACACGATGGGCACATGTTGGAGCATTTCCATGTTAGAGTAATGCTCCCTGCTCATTGACAACATATATAGTATAGAGAGAATTGTATTGGGTCCCATTATTTAGAATCATGTCTAATATATAGAGCTTTGAAATTAATATTTTGTCAATTTATAAATTTTGTGAGTGGAAAAAGACATGAGACATGTAAAGAGCTTTTGGGCTTCCACATTTGTGCTGCATAATCTTTACGCATTGTATCATATTTCTCGTTCGAATGGCAAAGCGTAGAAAATTACAAAATTATTTGTGAGTATTGGCTTCAATTAGCTGCATGCTAATCAAGTCGAGCCAAGTCGAGTAGTTTATGTCCGACCTCTCATTTTGTAAATGATTCAAATGTTCGTCTCTATCGAATTTGGTTCATTTAAACTCATAAAAACTCGGCCCAGATTCTTTTACAAAAACTTAAAAATCTTCAACAAGTTCCCCGCATGTACGTAAAATCAATATTGTTATTCTTGAAATAGTTCGGTCCAATTGTTTCATTTTAAAACTCTAAAAATTATTAAAGCTCGACTCTTTTTGAGTTGACGCATGAACAAAGATCGAGCTTTCATGAGTTGAACCGGGAAGTGTTCGCGAATTGCTCGATTCAAATAACAGCTACTGCTTCATTTTGTACTTTATGTGAATAAAGCATAGGTGATTAAATTACAAGAATGAGAAAATTTAAATTAAGAACATATTTTCATTAATTCTTCAAGATTTTCGGACACAAACAAGTGGCCGTGAATAATATCTGTAACGTTTGAATAGAACGAACATCATGTCATGTGACTACTAATCTACATCTTCAGATTAATTAGTATTATGGTAATAACAACAAAATTAACAAATATAGCTTCAAAAGTACATTTTTTTCACAGTTTTGATGAAGTAGGTGAAAAGTTTGTCATATATATATATTAATAAATAAGTACTTTTGGACAGCATAATTAATCCAGTTCGATAGATAGCAACTTCTTATCTTAGATATCACTTTGTTGGATTGCACCTTTTTTATTTATTTATTTATTTTTTTTTTCTGTTCACTCGAAATATGGCTTCATGAATATATTTTGAAACATTTTGAGTTCATAAAAATTTAAATGTCAACAGGAGCCGAGTCGAGCAGTACTAGTAAAACTGCTCGACACGATAAACAAGCTTGACCTCAGCTTGTTTTGACAAATTAAAGAATCAAATATGAACCTTAACGAATTGATCAGTTAATTTAATAGTTCAATAAAATAATTACATAAAATCTATCGTTTTTCGAGCCTTCATGAACCGATCTATTAACTCATTAACCAACCCAACTCGAATATGATTCATTTCATTGTCGAACTCTAGTCTTAACAAGTCGATTAATTCGAGCCCACAAACCATTCGGTTCGTTTAACAGCCATAAAGCCGAGTGCCCCAAATTCAGAAAAATAAAAATTGGGCATGCTAGTTAATTTATGCAACGTGATATTATATTTTCATAAAGCAAGAGTTAGTATTAATATTTGGCAGCGAAAAAGGCCACGCCCAATTCTAGT